CTAGTGGTGAAGCATTTGTTGGATAGGTACGTTTGTGTACTGGACATGGAAAATTGTCATGCTGTTACTGAATAGAAATTATATTTACTTGAACATTTTATATGCCATTTCACTGATAAAGGTACATGGGTCCTTTTTTTTCTACAGAAACACTGTAAAAGGTATGTCAGATTTTAATACGTTATAGTTGTTATTTCTCTAAATGAAATATGATTCAGAAAAATACACATTTCCTCTCTGAAAGACTGTTGTATTACCTAATAATAAATTTCTATCTTTTTTGGATTGATCAATATCAGAAGATGACTCAATGTTGTTCAGATGACCATGAGATCATTGACCATACACTCCGTAATCTTTTGCTTTTGGAATGTGCTTTAGACTATATTTATATGCTCCTATTGCTAATAATATCAAAACTCCAAGACTGCATTATAGCTCCTTTGATGACCATCAGCAGGGAAATTTTACTATGTTTGTGAATAGAATTGTGATACCCGGTCGATATGTGTCCTGTACCAACAGGAACACACAATGACCTTTATGGTATTATGTCAAATTTGATGAACTTTTATTTCATTTCATGTAGTAATCATTTTTTTATCTGTAATATGTTACAGAATAAAACATTTTAAAACTTACAAATCATGTAATATCTGTATATTTATTAATTTCATTGTACTATAGCTCACTGTATGACTCCCTCTTGAATTTTTGTAGTAATTTAATTGATTTGATTAAAAAAACTGCACCAAATCACAAGGCAAAAAAATAAAATCCAAATATTGTAATCTGTTTTAGCAGAGTGAATGTACCAAGAAAACAGATAATTCACCCATTTAAAATTTTTCATTCAACTCATTTAAGAAATGAAATACGCTCTTAAGTTTGTGTACGATAATTTTAATATTCAATCCTCATACCTTACCTGATTTCACAAAGTAGTTTCAATCTGAAGTATACATGACTAATCATAATTTATCAACAATTCATATAAAAGAAAATAAAAATAGCAAATTATGTATCATATTAAATACATTTAGTGCAACTTTTTGAGTGAATTTGACATCTCGTGTAATTACTCATCCGTTTCCAATTCATCAGATCTGTTTTACTTTTCGTTTCGGAACCAGACAGCAAATTTCATTTTGTGAAACCACCAAGTCATTTATCTGAACATGATCAACCATTGACTACTTTTTGAAAATAAATAAATAAATAAACTGAAAGCTTTCAGATTTTATATTATGCCCTGAGGTTTTTTTTTTTTTTTTTTTAACATTTTGTGTTATCTTTATTTATTAAATATCATGTTCTTCTTCGCACTTAAATCATAAAATTCAATTCAACAGCAATATCACAAATATTTAAAAGAGCATGTCTTTCGAATTTCCCAGTACACAGTCTCGCACATTGGAGATAAAAATGTTCCCTCCTCCCATACAGAGTTGCTATTGCTCACTTTGAAATCATTGAGTTTCTTAATCAAAGACTTATAAATGCGTTACAAGATATGAAATAGATAATAAAACAAATTCCAAATTAGGGCTTCCAGATGCCCATATTCTAATGGAGACATACATTATTCAAAATTTGATGGCCCTAAACACAGTTGTTTTATCACAACGTGAGAAAACATACATACATTTATGCAGATTCTTCATTATTTAACTTCTTTAAATATAATACTCTAATATTTGGTGGCAACAATTGAAAAAGTGATTCATCACCATTTATAATGAATCAACGCAAAATGCCAAAACAAAATTAATAGCCTTTCTGGGCAAATTGCCCCTTTGAGCTAAAAAGATTATCTTCAAGAAAGCTGAAAATAAAAAAGCAGGAAAAAAAAAGATTGGCCCACTTTGAGAACAGCACATGACACTTTAGGAGACATTAATTTTTCCTCCCAAAGACCCATCCTTTAAGGAGTTGGGAAAAAAAAAAAAAAAAAAAAAAAAAAAAAAAAAAGAGGAGGAAAAATATTTAAAATAGAAAGCAGATGTCAAATTAAGCATAGCAATGCATATCATAAAGATGAGGTAAATAAAGGTACAGTGAGGACTATACATGCTCTTAATAGAAAAGAAAATAATTATTGATAAAATATTGTAAGCAAAAGCTACAATATCATTTCATCAGAAGTACAGGCAATTATATAAAGCATCGGTTAGAGAGTAGACTGAAGGGTACCCCTTGTATTATTGCGAAGATGTTGTTTCATTTATTGCCAAGTTGTTGTTTCATTTATGTTGATTGTTGAGTAGTTGAATGTTCTGTACATCCGTAAATATACTCAGTCAGTAAATAAAGTCAAGGGAGTGAACAATGCCAAGTTTCTGCAATTCTCTGGTGATTTTTTAAGTGAAAATAGGTCAACGTGTTCATGGATAAAGAAAGTCAAGGCAGTGCACAATGCCTAGTTTGTGCAATTCTGTGATGTTTTTTTTCCATTAACAAATGTATTTGTTATACCAATGTTTTATTATAACTCTCTTGTTCTGATCATAATTTGTAATTTTTCGTGTCGCATTTATGTAGGTCAATGTGCACAAACTCGGTATCCATGTGCCGCCAAAAATCACCAATGGGTACTCGTAAATATACTTTTACCAAAACATCACTGTGCAAGTAGTAATACTTTATTGATTATGCCAAAGCATTCAACTAGTTGATTTATACATGTATAATGGAGAGAAAATTTATGTGAAGAGGTCCTTTGCGAATGATTAGCATACTTGATATAAAATAAAATAATGGCTGATAATAGAACATCACTAATAGCACATTTCCTTAGATAACCACTCCCATAATACAAATCTATTTAAGTAAGAGGTTATTCTCTTTGGAAAGTTCGATTGCATTTTCTACAAAAAAAGCACACACTGTTTTGCATATCATTACATTCGTCCATATCTGTGTTGATAGCAAAAACTGAATCATAATATTAAATGATGAGAAATATGCCCAAGGAAATTGCAATACAGTTTAACTAAATAAATGGTTGTATAATAGAAATATAAAATTGCATGTTTCCACAGGACTTTTATTAAGAAATAAGAGCTAAAAATTCAATAATAGTGGTGGAGAGCATGCAGTTGTCATGAAAAATTTCATTCATATACACAGTTTATGAGCACTGGGTGAGACAGTTTTGAGGAAATAATAAGTAAGAAAGTTTTCTCATCATCATATTCAAAGACATTTTTTTCATATTTTGTACTTGGATCTGTTTGGGGAAGTGACTGATTTTGCCATCAGTAAAAGTTATCCTGCTTAAAACAGTTTATTATTGTGTTTTCTGAAACATGGTTTCAAAATATGTATTTAGAAGATGCAGAAAATACACCAAGGAGGTTAGTCCTTATTAATTCATTTGCACTTTCATCCAAATTTTCCACATTATGAAGAATACAGCTCACCTCACGAAGATCATATTCTTTCATCGCTCTATAAAAATTCCTTAATCGCAAACTGGAATAACAGATATCATGTTTTCTGCAAGGAATAAAATTCCAAATTTTTCCTCATTATGAAGAAACAGCTCCCCTCACGAAGATCATATTCTTTCATTGCTCTATAATAATTCTCTGATCACAAACTTGAATAATAGATATCATGTTTTTTGCAAGGAATAAAACTTCGGCATACTTTATGAAGTATGTTTTGTGACATGCAGTTGTGAATCAGATCAAAGGTAAAATTCTTTTCATCTTACAGTTTCTAAATTCATTCATTAAAAATTTCTGTCATCATCTACACCATACGTTATTTTTTCATAATTTCAAATTCATCAAGAAAAAAATCAAATACATTGCAACATTTTGCTCACATTAAATGACATAATAATTACAACAAACGATGAGTCAATTTCCCATGTTTCTGCACAAGTGCCGATGGAACATTGACATTTTGATACACTTAAAAACTCGCAAAACATTAGAATAAATTTTTATTTCAGAGGCAGAAACAATTTAAAAAATCATCACATCTGAAATTTAGTGTCATTCACTTCACAAATGATGTTAAATTATGCGAAAGCACAGTCATTTTACGATTAACTAAATTATCAACAGAAAAAATGCGTTCAAAATTCAGTATTAAAATAGTATTTTTATAATTAAACAGTTTCAGTGCTTTCGTAAGAAGGAAAAAAAAAAAAAAAAACTCAGTTTTGTATCTGATTTTAATAGTTTTAAATCAATATGCACAAAATTTTTTCATACCACTAAAAAAATTATATGAAGTGCTAACAGAGATATTAAAAATTGAGATTGTTTTGTTCTTTTATTTATAACATGTTTAGCAGGAAATAAATGTTAATTCAAAGAACACTGCAATGGAAGTTCTCACATGTCCTATCAAACTTTTGTCAGTGATTTTAACTGAATTATCACCAGAAGAAATTTATTAATAAGCGAACACTACAACAACGAATATCTAAGATATTCTTTGACTACAACAACGTTTGCACCCTAACAAGAAATCTTCGATGTTTGTTTACATCGCACGATAAATTGTTAATCTTTGCCATAATTCACCGCGAAACATGATAAAAAGCCAAATATTGTAACCCATCCAGAAGCCAGTGACGTCACGGTAAACTTTTCCGTACACCTTTGACGTGTGTCTGTACATAATTGTGACGGACTAGAGTATTCAGCATTTCGTATAATCCTATAACCAGATAATAATAATATTAAAATAAATTTTATCTGAATGAAGTTTTCTTATTACAGAAGCAGTAAAATTATGCAATTACATAAACGAATACACTTTCGGACAATATACTTAATATTGTTTACAAGCGCAAGCCAAAGTTCTGTTTATGTTACATCTCGCCCTTCAGCGCATGCTCAAGAATTACCATCCAGGCGAAACTAGTCGATTTGACCATGACGTCAAAAATTCGAAAAGTGGGGTAGGGTTTGGAAATACGCTTCTGGGCCTTTTGAACTCGTATAAAACAATGAGAAGTGCTTTTTACTCTGGAAACCGAAATTGCTCCCTTTCTATATACCTTTCCTTAGCACCTAAGCTTCGCCCATCGGGGCAGAAAGACTTAATGGCTGAAAACAAGACATCTGTTTACTTTGTCTGTCTGTCTGTCTAAACGTTATTTTAGGGAGGCTTTATAAAATCAGTTGTGTATTTATTCGTTATTTTTCTCCTTTTTGTTTGCTTTTGTGAGAACGACCGTGTTATTGTGGTCTTCATGGATCAGTGTAGCAAATATGACAATATGTGCTCAGTAATTAAAGCAGCAAATTTTGCTGCGATAAAACATCGAAAACAAAAACGTAAAGATATCGAAGAAACTCCCTACATTAATCATCCAATAGGTCCTCAATGTAGTTATTGTAGCTTAAATATTACTAGTAATAAAACATTAAATTTTGTGAAGTATAGTATCATGTAATATTTATAATCGCGTTATACTAAATGCAAATAATCTTTGTCATTTCCAATAGGTGTTGCTAATATTTTAACTTCGGAAGGTGGGATATGTGATCCAGTAGTCTTACAAGTAAGTAAATCATTTGAACTGAAATTTACAATTTTTTAGCAACATTGAATCTGAAGACTTATTGCAAATTCTTTAAAATTGGAAATATTAACTTGAAATTCTATTAAATGGGAATAAATTTGTAAAATGAGCTGTTATGTAGGGATAATTAGCATTTTTTATAAGCTTCTGAATTCTTACAGTAAAGAAATTTGATTTTTTTAAATTTCGTTGTTATACTATATGCATAAAAAATTTACATTAATTTAGTCTTCTTTTTTGAGTAAGTGGGGTGAAGGGCAGAATCGTCCACTTATTTGTTTTGCACTTTTTAACAAGAGTAAGAAAAATTGGATTTTTGTCAATTTTCTTTGACTTTTTAAGTGAAAATAGGTCGATGTGTACGTGGATAAAATCAAGAGAGTGTTCAGTGCAATTTTTGTGCAATTATGGGATGTTTTTTTAAGTGAAAATTGGTCGATGTGTACATGGATACTGTGCAATTCTTAGAAGCATGCCAAGCAGGGGATGATTCTGCACTTTCCCCAGTAAGTGTAAAGTGTGAGGACAGTCATGAATGTAAGTTGAGCAACACAAAAATCCATTCCCATAAACTGAGCAGCCCATCCTCTTACTTGTTGTGCATGGATGGAACCTGTGTTAAAATTATGTACAAAAGTTTTTTCACCTGTGAAGAAGAGGGACTTATGTCTGGTAGCTTTCAAAGTTTATAGTGCTTTATTCAAAATCTTTGTCAAAGTAAAGTTTTTTTTTTAAATTTTTGGTTTATCTAATATTAAATTTTACATTGATGTGTTTTTTTTTTGTCCAGTTTTAATTTGAGCCTATATATGATGTATGTCTACCACAAGGCATATATTCAAAAATTCATCTGTAAAAACTTCTAGAAGTTAGGATGATAGTTAAATATTTAAAATTTATAAGTTTCATATAATAGTATATCACAGAGTTATGCATAATTCAATTACAGTGTAATTGCAAATATAAATAATCGAAATAATGTGTAATTGAAATAACATATATTTGTAATTACAATGTAATTGTAATTGCAAAATCTTTAATTACAATGTAAGGTGCTACTTTGGTAGACGGTTGCACGGACTTTGGCGATATACGTTGGCGCGATTTTTACAAAGTCAGCCATCTTGTAAAACGCTGTTTTTACGCATAGTAAAGTATTCAAAACTTAAAAAAAAATAAATATCGTTAAAAGTAATGGATTAATTTTTTGTTGAAAATGTCACTTTTTAAGATGGCAGCAAGGGTAAATAAATACATTTACTATGAGTATAAAATAGTAAAGTAAGGTTACTATTACTTTCATATAGCAAAGAGAATAAAAACACCGCTATAAAAACATTGTGCCAACGTTTAATTAGATTAAAATATTACTGAAATTGAATATTGAATTAAAAACCATCATACCAACATTTAAAAGAATTAAAATATTATTAAATTCAAATACTTTAAAATATGTTATATAGAATATAATTAACATTAAAACATATGAACAATAATTATCTCAGCAATTTTTGAAAATAGTGTATTAATTTTTTCAACAAAAAATTGAAGTATACAATTATAAAATAAAGGAAAAATATGTACTTACATTTTTTTAGTCATTTAACCTATTGCTTATTGATAAGTACCACAAAAAAAATCGGAATCATAATTTAAATAACATCTTTGAAGACATCTTTCAAGGAATTCGAAGATATGAATTAAATTTTAAAACGGCGTGGAAAAGCACAAATTTTCAGTAACCAATTAGGGAGCTGATTATAGCTCGTTAATGCACAAATATTCTATAACCAATCAGAGAGCTTATTACATCATGCCTAAAATTAAAATTATTTAAAAATTCATACATAATAAAATCATTTTTTAAAAAAATGCAAAATTAAATTGTATTTTAATATTTAACAGTCATAAATAATGTTTAAAACATTAGATTAAATTTATACATATAAAAACCAATTACTTTTAAAGTAAGGTGACGTCATTGGTTTACATCATCCACAATATAAAATTTCATAAAATATGATAAACAATAAAATTTTTATTTCAAATAAAAATGCAAAATTAAATTGATTTTTAATATTTAGAAGCCATAAATAATATTTAAACACGGAATTTATGCACAATAAAACACATTATTTTTTAAATAAAATGACAACAATGTATCGGTTACCATAAATAACTTATCCATCAATGGGTTTACCATAAGTTGTATTACTCGCCAAAAGAAAAATCGCCAAAATCCGTGCAACCGTCTACCAAAGTAGCACCCAATGTAATTATAAATCGATCAGTTACGATTTATTTACTTACAATGTAACTGTATTATAAATAATACAGTTACGTTATAAATAATACAGTTACAGTGTAATTATAAATCGGGCAACTGCGATGTATTTACAATTTATTCATTTATGATATAATTGATTCAATTTCAGTATAAATGTATTATAAATTTTAATTGTAATTTATAGTATAATTAATTGTAATTTATAGTGTAAAATTTATTACATAAAAATATAATTTAATAAACATAATTGTAATTTATAGTGTAAAATTTATTACTTAAAAATATAATTTAATAAACATAATTGTAATTGCACAATTTATAATTACAACTACAATAAAATCATAGTTGCAGTTCTGATTATACTGTATATGTACAATAACTAGAATAGCAATGTAGGGGTAAAGTGGAGAATTGCCCACTTATATGGTGCGTATCGATGTGTACATGGACAGAGTCAAGGGCCAAGTCACAATGCCAAGTTTGTGCAAGTCTCTGATGTTTTCTTCAAGTGGAAATAAGCCAATGTGTACATGGATACCGAGTTTGGGCAATTCTTTGACTTGTTATTTTCAAGCTGATGCAGAATTGCCCATTTATATGATGCGTATCGATGTGTACACTTTGTACTGTATTACAATTTTGTGTAATGTTTGCTTTTTAACAGTTAACACATCATTAATTTTTGTATACTTAGGATTAGAGATGTTATGTAAATTTTGATGTTCTTTAATTTTCTCTAATGATAATAAATGGCAAACTTAAGTGTTGACAAACAAGGATTTGTAGTTAGCATATCAGCTTCAAGCTTAGTAAAACCTATTTAATATCAAAGTGATGCACAGGTAATATTTAATGTCAATGTCATACATATGTAGTTTCAAAGATCATCTAAATAAACTTCCTGTAGGATGTTTAATATTTTTAAGCCAAACTAGAGCAGCGTGATCAGTATGTGCAGTAAAATGATTACCATGTAAATAATAATAAAATTCATCTATGGCATCAGTAATTGCTAAACATTTTAATTCCATAATTGCATAATTTTGTTTATAAGATCTTAATTTCTAGAATGAAAAGCGATTGGATGTAGGTTTCCATCTGGGTGTTCTTGTTTCAAAACTGCACCAACAGCTTCTTTAGATGCATCTACAAATACATGACAAGGATATTTTGGATTAAACACAGTTAAAATAGGTCTTTAAATTAAGCCATCTTTTAAATTTTGAAAAGATGTTTGACATTCATTAGTCCACTTATAAGGAGTATCTTTTTTTAAGTAAATTTGTTAAAGGAGCTCTAGTTTTTTCATAATTTTGAATAAATTTATGGTATATGTTTATACTTCCTAAAAATCTTAGCAATTCTTTAACATTTTTAGAGGGTTGTAATTTTTTAATAACTTCAATATTTGCATTACTAGGTTGATATTTTTCTGCTTGAACCTCATATCCTGGAAAATTAATTTTTGGCTAATCTTTGGAATATGGTAACAGGTAGTTTGGCGACATTTTGGTAAGGCGATAGCTAGGACTTTACTTAACAACGCGGCAAACAATTTGCGATTCTGCACATTCTCCCAATTTCACACCTAATCTTCGTCATGATTAAGCACTTTTGTTCCATAAAAGTTCTAGCATAAGCGTAATTCGGCTAGCAGATTGTTGGAAAAAAATGTTGAGTTAAAAAAAAAAAAAAAAATGCCTTTACTTCGTGAAAACAAAATAGCATCCAAACAAAAACTAGCAGGTTGCCGTAGCAGGATTGGCCGCCAAATTTTCACCAAAAAATCGCCAAGTTACCATAATTCAAAGATTAACCAATTTTTTCTTTATCAGAATTACACTTAGATTGTTTTAATTTTATATTCTGTTTTTGACATATGTCAAATACACTCTTGCCCCCCCCCCCCCCAAAAAAAAAAAAAAAATAAAACACCATGAAGGAAGTAGTTGTTTGTTGTAGGAAGTATGAAATTGAGTATGTGTCTAGCTCATACACGGATACAGTACAAAGTCCAAAATCCGGACATCCATTGTCCGGAATGATCTAAAATCTGGACCTCAAAACCACCAACAATGTTTTTCTCATAGGCTTTATGCATGCACATTTGATTTCCCCCTTCATGCATAATAAAGCATCTGGAGAGTCCCGATTCTTAATTTCACTTCGACACTAAATAAGATACCTTGTTATGGAAGAAACAGTCATTTTAGCATAAATTTGTACGATCAGTAATTTGTCTCCATTACTGCGTATCTGCTTGGCACACATCTCAAACTGAAACATTCCACATAGATACATCGTTGATCTGACACCAACCTGGCAAATCATTATTTATTATACTTTCCTTTCATCACGGCATGTTTATAAAAACATGACAACTTGAGTAATGACTCATGTAGCGATGCCTAAACAATCTTTTATGCTAGTAATTGAATAATAAAGGTTATGGTAACCTTTTATGTTGACATTATGCTTGGCGATGATTACAGATATAAGATAAATGCACTAAAAAATGTGGACGAGGAAAAATTTACCAAAAGTTTCTTTCCATGTGCTAAAAATAGATTTTGTTGATGATACTCATAAACTCAAAGATTTAGGGCTATTTCAATTAAGAACAACTGATTTGTTATTTGCATAAACCCAGAACCAGCGCCAGGGCTCGTATGGCCGCACCGAGTCGCAGAGT